GAATATCCCAGGTCGGGGTTCCAGGGGTGTGTCTGTGCGGATTTGATCTTGTGCTTTTTCAGGAAGTTTCTTGAGCAAATGCTGTAGTTGCTTTTGGTAACTCTCAGTGGGATCATAGGGTAATGGCTTGTAGAAACTCGTGTTGGAGAGCTGCCTAGCAGCCTCTTGTTCATATTCCGACCTATTCATGATGACAACAGCACCTCCTTTGTCAGCCTTTTTGATTATGATGTCAGAGTTGTTTCTGAGGCTGTGGATGGCATTGCGTTCCGCATGGCTGAGGTTATGGGGCAAGTGATGCTGCTTTTCCACAATTTCAGCCCGTGCACGTCGGCGGAAGCACTCTATGTAGAAGTCCAGTCTGCTGTTTCGACCTTCAGGAGGAGTCCATCTAGAATCCCTCTTTCTGTAGTGTTGGTCCAGTCCACACAAGAGATCCACTTCCTGGACACTACAGTGCTAATAAACAATGGCCACATAAACACCACCCTATACCGGAAACCTACTGACCGCTATTCCTACCTGCATGCCTCCAGCTTTCACGCTGACCACACCACACGATCCATCGTCTACAGCCAAGCTCTGCGATACAACCGCATTTGCTCCAACCCCTCAGACAGAGACAAACACCTACAAGATCTCTGTCAAGCTTTCTTACAACTACAATACCCACCTGCAGAAGTAAAGAAACAGATTGATAGAGCCAGAAGAGTTCCCAGAAGTTACCTACTACAGGACAGGCCTAACAAAGAAAATAACAGAACGCCACTAGCGGTCACCTTCAGCCCCCAACTAAAACCCCTCCAACGCATTATTAAGGATCTACAACCTATCCTAAAGGATGACCCAACACTCTCACAAGTCTTGGGAGACAGGCCAGTCCTTGCCTACAGACAGCCCCGCAACCTGAAGCAAATACTCACCAACAACCACATACCACACAACAGAACCACTAACCCAGGAACTTATCCTTGCAACAAAGCCCGTTGCCAATTGTGCCCACATATCTATTCAGGGGACACCATCACAGGGCCTAATAACATCAGCCACACTATCAGAGGCTCGTTCACCTGCACATCCACCAATGTGATATATGCCATCATGTGCCAGCAATGCCCCTCTGCCATGTACATTGGTCAAACTGGACAGTCTCTACGTAAAAGAATAAATGGACACAAATCAGATGTCAAGAATTATAACATTCATAAACCAGTCGGAGAACACTTCAATCTCTCTGGTCACGCAATCACAGACATGAAGGTCGCTATCTTAAAACAAAAAAACTTCAAATCCAGACTCCAGCGAGAAACTGCTGAATTGGAATTCATTTGCAAATTGGATACTATTAATTTAGGCTTAAATAGAGACTGGGAGTGGCTAAGTCATTATGCAAGGTAGCCTGTTTCCTCTTGGTTTTCCTACCCCCCCCCCCCCCCCCCAGATATTCTGGTTTAACTTGGATTTAAACTTGGAGAGTGGTCAGTTTAGACCAGCAGGAGAGTGAGTTTGTGTGTGTATGGGGGTGGGGGGGAAGTGAGAGAACCTGGATCTATGCAGGAAATAGCCCGACTTGATTATGTAAAGAGTTGTCACTTTGGATGGGCTAGCACCAGCAGGAGAGTGAATTTGTGTGGGGGGGTGGAGGGTGAGAAAACCTGGATTTGTGTTGGAAATGGCCCACCTGCTGATCACTTTAGATAAGCTATTACCAGCAGGACAGTGGGGTGGGAGGAGGTATTGTTTCATTTTCTCTGTGTGTATATAAAGTCTGCTGCAGTTTCCACGGTACACATCTGATGAAGTGAGCTGTGGCTCACGAAAGCTCATGCTCAAATAAATTGGTTAGTCTCTAAGGTGCCACAAGTACTCCTTTTCTTTTTACAGGAATAACTGCAATTCAGCCATCAATCAATCTACCTGTATTGGTGCTAACTCCTAAGTGTAAGCAAGAGCAAGCCAGGCCTTGCATCAGCTGAGGGCTGATCTGCACTGGGAACTTACATCAGCATAGCTACATCTCTCAGGGGGTTGAAGAAGCCACACCCAAGATCATTGGGGTGTGAGGTGTAGGGTCCGGCCGGGAGGCGCTTACCACAGGCAGCTCCCAGGCAGCTGTGCAGAGGGGCTTAGCCAGGCTGCCTGCCTGCCCTGGCCCCGTGCTGCTCCCGGAAGCATCTGGCTGCTGGCATGTCTCTGCAGCCCTTGGGGCAGAGTGGGGCAGTGGGTCTCTGTGTACTGCACGTGCCCACAAGCATTGTCCCGGCAGCTCCCATTGGCCGGTTCCTGGCCAGTGGGAGCTGCAGGGACGGTTCTTGTGGCGGATACAGCACGTAAAGCTGCCTCTCTCCCATTTTCCTCCCCCCAGGGGCCACAGAGACGTGTCAGCAGCCCGTTGCTTTCGGGAGCAGCGTGGGGCCAGGGCAGGCAGGGAGTCTGTCTGAGCCCCGCTGCATCACCAGTCTTTTAGCGGCCCGGAGATTGCAGAGGCTCCAGGATTGACCGCAATCAGTGGTTTGGTGACCACTGCACTGTAGCAGCGCAGCTGCAGTGGTTTAAGTGTAGACATATCCTGAGCCAATTGGGATTTATCTTTACATGTATTTGGTATACATCCTGATTAGTTCAAGCAGTGAAGGCCCTGGCTTGCCTTGGCTACATTCAAGGGTCAGCATAGGCAGAGATATACTTATTGGTGGCCAGTAAATGCTGTATTGTATTGGAGGATAGCCAAGGCTCAGGGGGCCCTAATACTGACAGCGAAGAACACAGAGAATTCTTATTGATGCATATGTATTTGCACTAGAATACAAAGCACAGCACTAATAGATACCATATAGATGGTGTTTAGAGGCATCTCTGATGAAATCTGTTCAGTACCTAGTTTACAGATATCCGCAGCATACTAGCCACGATGACAGTTGGTGTTCATTTTTCATTGGCAAATGGACAGAAAGGTTAAACTATCCTTTCAACAGGAGAGATGATTCTGAGAGGTCAAGGTTGGGCACAATGTCAAGGTGCTCTGAGGTAGCTTGCACTCCTGCTGCTTGCACTCGGTGTGTCTTGTGAGTAAAGACAGGACTTCATGTTCTAGTGATGCCACACTTCATGAGTATTAATTTAATTGAAATATGTATTTTAATGTACTTCGCTTTGTCTTCTAATTTCTTGTCAATGGTTTAGTTTTCAAACATAGCAAAGTAGTTTTGCTTTGGTTTTCTGATTCACGCCCCCCACACACACAAAATGCTGTCCAATCTGCGCTTCAGTGGAATACATATTGTTAATATAATAGACATCTTAACAGAGATCAGCAAGTGCTCAGGTTCATCCAGATCTGTTTTAGAATATTGTGTGATGAGTGGTTGGTAATGCGATGTGATTATTGCTATTATTATTATTATTATTATTATTATGACTAGCCAAGGACTTATCCTATGACTGGGTGTGGGGTATCATCAATAAATTAGATGCCATTTGTGGTTGTCCTGTATGTCAAGTTGTAGTTCAACAGTGTGTCCAGGCGGTGTATGACTGAGCCAGTTAGGGCCAGTTTTCCAAAGGTGTTTAGGTACCTAAAGTTGCAGATAGGCACCTACGGGGATTTTCATAAGTGCCCAGATGCTTTGAAAATCCCACTAGGCACCTATTTGTGTTTAGGCAACTGGTGGTGAATCCCACCTCTCGCACAGTTGCTTAGGTAGGTGCAAATTAAATGCCCTTGCACCCACCTGGGTGAATCAGGTCCTCCAGCATTGAAATTCACAATAACCTTACAAAAGCCTCAAATATGATTTTGCAGCTCTGATGAAAACATCATGAGATTCTTTTTAAATCAAAATTATTTAATTATGCTGTGGAGAGACAGAACTTTGAAAAAGAATTTTGAAACTCTCCATGCATCATACATACAGAAATGATTGTACCACACCTGTAGAATATAAATTCTATATCCTATTGAAGTTGTTTGTGCATTAAACTCTGTTCATTTGTGATAACTCAAATCTCATTGAGCAGGGGAAACAGCATAGTACACTGTGCAATCAGAAACCTTGGGGTTAAGTTCAAGGTTATGATTAAACTTTTGCATTGAGCGTGTGCAAACCATAGCACACCAGTTAAAGGTGTTAATTCAAAACCTTGATGAAGTTCTTTGGAAAAGGCTGCAAGAGAAACTATTGTAACCTTGTGAAATGTTTACTTATTACACATCCATAGGCTTCCACATATGCACGTGTATATTCATTCCATGGCACTCAGTACAAAATCTAGAGACAAATTAGGTTTGTTTTGCCAGTGGCTTTATATTTGTTAGGATGGTGGTAGCTGCTGTAATAAAGCTAGCCAAAATCCCTTATTTTTTTATGTATTTGTACTCAGTGGGGATGACTGCTTTACTGACCATGACTTTGTTTCCTTCCAATGCTTGAGACTGATCTAGCTAGTAGAAGCTCAGAGGTTAATGTAATATTTCAAGGAAGGCATTTTTGTGAGGGATAATATATAATAGTGTATGGCTGTGTTTCCCTTCTATAACCTTCCATTTCGTGTGTGTGTGTGTGTAAAACAATAACTTTTTTTTTTAAATCATTGACTATTTTTTAAAAGAAACAGTAATAGTAGTATTTATTATTGGAGCAGACTATAGAGCTGCAAATATTGAGAGGCCCAAATATTAAACACACCATTGTAAAACAAAAACCAACCAACCCCCCCCCATCTTTTTTGACCAAGATTTTAAAAAAAGCTAGTCTCCGAAATCCTTATTTAGGCACTTTAAAAAGTGGCCTGATTTTCAGAAGTGCTGAGAATGCTGCATTTTCTAAATTCTCTCACAGTGTTTTGAAACAGGTAGGTTTTCTGAGGAGAATACCCCAAGTGGACATTATTTTTCTGATTCATGTATGATGTGTGGTTTGTGCATAGAGTCTAATGTATATTATTGCAGTAAATACATTTTATTATTAATTGTCAAACTCTTTCTTTTGGTTTTTGAACAGGCAGAAATACTCAGTGTGCTCAGTCACAAAAACATCATTCAGTTCTATGGAGCCATTATTGAACCTCCTAACTATGGCATAGTTACAGGTGAGGACTCTTCCTTTGACTCTTTTTTCTTTATAATATAGAAGGTCTAACGTTGCTAGATCCTAACTCAAACTGCGAACTGTATGCTTTTATTTTTCTCTTGTAAGTGTATGGCATAAAGTCTTAAATAAACTAATTATATCTACATATTGGAAACCATGTTTCTATTTCTACCTCTGATTAAATGTATTATTGACATTACTGAAATTCTGTCTGAATGCACTTACGGTTGCAATACCTAACTGGTCACATTGCTTGCACCCACATTGAGTCAGTTGCAGGACTGGGGGTTTCTCAACTAGGGCCTTATCTACACTTAAAATTTAGGTTGACTACAGCTACATCAGGCAGGGGTGTGAAAATATCCACATTCCTGAGTGCCATTCCTATGTCGACTCAACCCCCAGTGTAGACACAGCTAAGTTGAAGGAAGAATCCTTCCATTGACCTAGCTACTGTTGTTCAGGGAGATGATGTTCTTACACTAATGGAAAAACCCCCATCTACACTATGGGGTTATGCCAGCATAGCTATGGGACTGTAGCTATGTGTGTATAGTTGCCATAGTATAGACATACCTTAGACTAGGCATGTCTCAAATGGAGGTCTCCATCTTATTCTCTCATCACTTTGCATAAATAAATTTCATAGTCCATACTCAGTTTGAATTCATCATCATTTGTCCTGTCATGTAGACCTTGTACATTAGCATTGTAATCCCTGAACCGAGTCAGTTTTTATCACAGAAGGCTTCCTGCATGGCTATATATTTTGTTGGCTTACTGTATCCTACCTGCAAGGTAATATAATGTGCAACCAGTTTCAGTCACCACTGAATTTTTAATAGTTTTGACATTTTGAAAGCAAGTATGGAAATGATGACAAAAACTGCGTCTTCTAAAAGAACCAAAACAATTATTTTTACAAGCTATGAACTGAATTGCATGACAGTCTTTTAACTGCAGGGATATTTTAATACATGTACTCAACTGGGTATACATGTCTCTCTCTTATCCATTAAGTGAGTTATTGAAGTTTATTTTATTTCTGCAGCCCAGCATCTCCCACAATTCTGAGATGTCTGAGCTGTTCTCTCTGCAGTTCTGGAGGTGGTGCCACATTGCAGCACAGCCTGAACTGTCCATGACCCCTTCTCCAGTTTGCCACTAGAATTTTTGTCTTTATATACTGCTCTATATACTTTGCTTCTATATACTGTATAACAGCAGCTAGAGGTGGTTTGCTTTATTCCTGACCATTTCCTTTAACTGTTCTATTTCAATTCATTTTGGAGTTGTATGAAATTTTAGTTTATAATGACTTCACAAGTGCTTTTTATATAAGTTGTTGTAAAACTAGCCAAATATCTAGGACTTGATGTACTACCTGGAAGACCTCTCCCTTTGAAAGTAAACAATCTGTTTCTTTATCCCTCCCTACTTATTTTCCCTACTTATGCTCACTACTTCCCTACATCTCAATGTAGGAGATAGTGGGCCGCAGAATGGGAAATTCTTGCCTAGTAAGATGCCTAGCAGCATCTCCAGCAATTGCCCCCCACCCCCTGCTATGTCTTCAGTAGCCAAGGGACAACAATTAATGTTTTATGACTACCGTTTGTGGGCCCATTATCATAGGTCACTGGTTGGTATTCAGTTAATTGGTACTATCGAGTTCTAACATATTTTACACAGCTTTGTAATTAAATTATCTGGCGGGAAGCTGGAGAAGGGAGCATGTCCAGCACCACCTGCATTACAACAACATTGACCCACCTCTGGAAATGCAGAGGGAAGGGTAACAGCCAATGCTCATCATTAATTAGAGACACTTAAAGGCTGTTTTAAACTGTGCCGGCTGCCAGGGCCCTCCTGCGGTCAGCTGGGTGCAAGGATCTTGCAGCCATACCCCTTATGTCAGCAAGCAGGGGAGGAGGTAGCATAGGAGCTCTGCTATGTTAGCTTCATACCACTTGAAGATTCCTCTATGTTACCAAAGAATCCTATGTCTAGGTACATCAGCTTTAGGGCTTCTCTGTGCTGCAAGAGCAATGCAAAGCTGCCGCAGTACACTGGAGTATTGGGGCCAAGTAGTGTTCCTTTAAGAACAGAATCAACCAGTTTTCAGTAAATGTTATTGTAGGGTAAAAGGCTGTTGGGTTTAGGATAGTTGATTCATTCATTACAGACACGAAATCAGGTTATATACCACTTAGGGCTTGTCTACACGGTGCTTTAGTTTGCACCGGAGGGGTGAAAATTTTAGTCTGCACTTGCATGTCACACACTGACTGGCCCATGTGGACCTTGCTAGTATGCACTAAAAGTTCCCTAGAATGCATTAATATAGTACTGTTTGAAACGGGACTACATTAACATGTGCTAGGGAACTTTTAGTGCATACCAACAGGGTCCACAGATATCAGTTAGTGCACAACATGCTAGTGCAGGTTAAAATTTACATCCCTCTGGTGCAGTTTAAAGTACTGTGTAGACAAGCCTTAAGACTCTAAAGTTCTCCTGCACCATTTATACATGTAGTTTGTTTTCTAAGATTAGTCTGCTGCTGATAATGCTAGGTTGCCAGATACATGATATTGTATTTAAAAACAAAATGAATGAGTAGTAGGTTAAAAATGTTTATCTAGTAAATGATAAAGGTATGTGACAGAACTTACACCTGCACTGTCTAATGTTTAATAAAATATATCTTTTTCAGTGACTTCAAATTGTTAAATTAATTCAGAAGCAATAATTAGGGGAAATTGTGTGTTTGTATGGTACTTTCTTTGTAGGAAAACATTCCAATATATTGATACACTTACTTTTCTAGGTTGAGGTAGTGCCAAAATATAAATAGAGGAAAAAATAGCAATTTGGCTATATTTACTTCATAGCTCAAATTATAAACCCTCTCTTTATAAAAAAAATAAAATAAAATAAAAAAAAAATAAAATAAAGATATTAGTGTTTTTTTCTTTCCTCTATATCTTTGTCTGGCCTGGTGACCAGTCCATCTGTAAAAGCCACTGGGGATAGGTTGTATCTGGTTGGTTACTTTATTGTATTTTGTTAGGGGCACTGTAACAGGTCCCCTTCTTGCCCTTTTGGATCACCACAAACACTTTGAACACTTCCGAGTTTATAAGCACCAGTGTGTTTATGTATTTGATCTCCTCTACCACTTCACCAGTACAGTCCCTTGTGCAGCAACATACAATTGGATGTAAACTTCCCCATTAGTCCATTCTCTGGGGATGGAGAGGCAAGACTTCACTATCGTGAGATCCTCTACCCTCCGGCTCTGGCCCGCCTTCCCCTTTCACTTCCTTTCTGTCCTTTACCTGTTCCCAGCAGATGGGCTGATCGCTGTCATTAGTTCATCAGCCTCTGGCCCAGTGGTGGGCAGCCTGCAGCCCATCAGGGTAATCTAATTGCGGACCGCGAGACATTCTGCTGACGTTGACTGTCCCCAGGCACGGCCCCCCACAGCTCCCAGTGGCCGCAGTTTGCCGTTGATGATGTTGATCCCTGTAATGCCCCCCCCAGCGGCAAAGGGGCATTACAGGGATCAACAGCTATGCCACGTGAAAGTGAAGGAACTGTGCCAGACATACCACAAAGTGAAGGAGGGCAACAAGAAATCTGCTGCTGCCCCACAGACCTGCCACTTTTACAATGAACTCCTTGCCATACTTGGTAGAGACCCAACCAGCACCCTGCAGACAAGTCTGGGTACCTTGGAAGTGCCTGAGATAGATGCTCCTGCCATGAACAGCGTGGAGGAGGAGGAGAGAGGAAACGCAGTGCGGGACTCAAGCCATGCCATGTTCCAGGAACTGTTTGAAACTCTGCAGGAGTCTAGCCAGTTCTGCCAGGCAAGCACAGATGAGCCAGCTGAGGAGAAGGGGAAGGGAGCTTGGGTAAGTGTGTATGTGCATTATTCCTTGTGATATTTTTTTTTATTTTTGTTTTTTTGCTTTTTCTTTCTCTAAAACCTTATCACCCTCCTTGCTTCCCTCCTGTGTTTGACAAAAGTATTGACTTTTTGTGCTTTACTGGTAGAACTAACAGAGGTAGAGTTGGCAACACATCAGCTTTTCAGTTCTTTGGCTTGTTGGACTAGATGGTGGGCCATGCAGAGTACTCTGTTTATCAGAATAGGATGTCTCTTCTATGCACTTGAGAAATCTTGATGAAACTTTCATGGAGATACTCTGCCATCCTCTCCCAAAGATTTATAGGGGTGGCAGCTTAATTTCTTCCCCTGAGACAGGAAACTCTCCCATGCCACACTGTGATGAATTCAGCTTGCCCCATTGAAGTAAACAGGCTGGCAGCACACATGTCTGGGCAGCTTTGGGAGGCCAGCTGCAGCTGGGATCTCTGTGTCTTTGTGACCTGGAGGAGTGAGATATAACCCCTTTCTGTGAAAATTCATAGATTCCATGGCCAGAAGGGACCATTGTCATTTTCTAGTCTGACCTCCTTCTTCAATTATGGGCACCAGAACTGAACATAGTATTGCAGCAGCAGTCACACCAGTGCCAAATATAGAGGTAAAATAACTTCTCTACTCCTACTCGAGATTTCCCTATTTATACATGATGAGATCACATTAGCTCTTTTGGCCACAGCATCACAATGGGAGCCCATGTTCAGCTGATTATCCACCACCATCCTCTGATCTTTTTCAGGGGCACTGCTTCCCCGGATAGAGGCCCCCATCCTATAAGCATGGCCTATAATATTTATTCATAGATGTATACCTTTATATTTAGCCATATTAAGCACAATATTGTTTGCTTGCCCACTTTACCAAGCAATACAGATCATTTTGAATCAGTGACCTGTCCTCTTCATTATTTACCATTCTCCAATTTTTGTGTCATTTGCAAACTTTATCAGGGATGATTTTATGTTTTCTTCCAGGTCATTGATAAAAATTTTAAATAACATAGGGCCAAGAAACACTGCTAGAAACATATCAGCTCGATAATG